GAGGGGGAGGAGGGGGATGCATGGAAGGGTGGAATTCCGAGTGGGGCACCACCACCACCTTCCGGACTCCGTTTTCTTCCACCACCTGCCACAACGGGAGAAAGCCAAGGTCAATCCAGAGACAACCTTATAAAGAAATATTTACAAGTAGTAAGGAATTTCTGTGCTTGAGTCCATACCCACAACCCGCCAGGCAGGGATTTGCACCCCAAACTGAATTCCAGGGGAAACCAAGCATGTATTACTAGAAGGAAGAAGAGTTGGAGGGTCAGCTGTAACACCCCAAAGTGCTGAACAATCACAGAATCCCAGGATAGTCTGGGTGGGAAAGGACCTTACAGCCCTCCAGTCCCACCCTCTGCCATGGGCAGGGGCACCTCCCACCAGACCAGGCTGCTCCAGCCTGGCTTTGGACACTTCCAGGGATGGGGCACGAAACCTGTTCACCACTGAACCACTTCATCCCACTTTGGCAAAATCCAAAACGATCCCTGGGCTCTTCCAGTCATTGGGAACACAAAGGTAAAGTCTCATCTCCTGACAGGAACAGCCTGAGTGACTCAAGCTCTGATTTAGAGTTCATTTAAAACTTGTCAATCCCTGTCACAACAACCGAGGGAAAACAAACCAACCCTCCTGGTTTCAGGTGACAGCAAACACAGAATAAATAAATGTATTTTTCAGGCTGTACTGCCAGGGCTTTGCACTCTGTTTGCACTGATGGCTCCATTTCAGAGCGATGAATTATATAACCTGGAGGATCTTTCTTCAGGGTTTGCATGAAAGTACCTACTCAGAACAGCAGAAGTCCAAAATGCAGCTGTGTGCAAAAAACACAACCCAAGAACACACAGCTACAAGGTTTCAGGCCTACTGAGAAAACTCCTGATTTTAAATATTACCAGGAAATGTCTGCAAAACCAAATTAAACTATTTGCTTTTCATTATTTCCCTTTCAAATGCATTAATTTAGAAGTAAATCAAACTGGTCATTTGAGCATCTCTGGTAACAGCTCAAATACCACACACAGGTCTGATCTGCTGTGACTTAGCAACACCCAGGAGTGGAAAATCCATGAGAATGGAAAAATAAAGCTGGGAGAGCCCAAAGCCCTGCTCATTTCACAGGCACATGTCACTGGAATTAGTATTTCCATCACTAACACTCCCTTCACACTCTGCTCCAACAGTGGGGTTTTGCTGGATGTTGAGGAGGTCAGGGGCAGTGAAAACTCTGATTATTTATGACTATTTAGTTATATTAAAATACAAAAACCTGCAGCCAGCTGGGAGTGTTTGCATGACCCAGGCACCCACCCTCACCTTGTAAACAGGACTGATGGAAAACAAACATGTGGATCCTGTTAATGGATCAAGACAGTCAACTCGGAGTCATCTTTCTTACTAAAAGTATCTTTTACTGCCTAAGAGTATTTAAAGAAAACCCTGGAAACCTGATCAAATTTAACTCAGTGAACAGAGGTGACAGAGCCCACAAAATAAAGTGAAATAGTCGTTAAGGTCAATGGAAAAAATAGGAGAAATGCTTTTTTCCCAGCTAAGATAATCAATAAGATAAATATTATTAAACCCACACAGAATATAAAACTTAAATAAAAATCTATAAATGATATAAAAACATGAAATAGGAGGATGAATGAAGTTTACCTGAGATACATAACCGGGAGGCACAAATATTGGTGGCATGGAACCATTTGGTGACATCAGAGGGACATGTGCTGGACCTGGGGAGGAACAAGGGGCCACTTTTTAACAAACCAGGGTTTTCCCATCTGGAAACACCTTTTTCCAAAGGTGGGAGCTCACCCTGGGGCCTGAAACACCAGCAACTGCATCTGACTTGGCCCTGGATTATTGGCTTTATCCCAACCACCACCCCCAGGCAGCCAACAGTGTTTGTTTCATTGTAAAAAATCAGTATAGATAATTTTAGCTCTTATTTTGTGGCAGCTAACAGTCTGTAGTAATGCAGACGGCTGGTCTAGTAACTTTTTTTTGAATTTTAAATAAGAATACATTGTTTTTCACATCAAGCTGAAAGGAAGTATTCCTGTGTGGGACTTGATGAAAGCAGAATGGACACATTTTATATAATAACATTTGAAATGGTGAAAAATATGTCCAAAATAGAAATACTGATAAATTCAACTTGACTTACAGGAGATATTTTGCCCCAACTCAGATGTTCTGTCACTTACCCAGAAGGTAAAAAGGAATTTTCAGGCACAATTGGGAGCAATAATTCCCCTGGCACCTGCCAAGGCTGTACCTGACAGCACAGTGAGGTCACAGGGGCTGCTAAAGTTGTTTAGATTATTGTGGATTAAATCCCATGTAAATTCATTCCCAGGATTCTGGGAAGACAAGTTATTCAAGGATCACTGCAAAACCAGCTCTTATAAATTAAAGTCTGCAGGATATGGGGGATCCTGGCAACTTCCCAGGGCTTTAACAAAAATCTGATGTATTACACTGTAAAACATACAAACCACATTTGATAGCACAGAAACAAACAGGAACTTCAGAGCCAAAATATTTGGATTCAGAACTCCAGCTTCCCTTTACCTTGAATACACTGCATGTGCCCATCTTCAGTTGTAATTGTAAATGTTTCACCTGGGTTTACCTGGACAAGAATAACCTGGAGGAAACAAAACACAAAAGAGGTGTTGGGGTTTTATAACATTTTAAGAACTAATTGGGGGCAAAAAAACCCCATCTCTTCCTTCTCCCCACGTGTGAAGTTAAAACAACAAAGCTCTGGCGACCCTGGAGCAGAAAAGCAGGATGAGACACTTGTGGGTGGAATGAGATTTCTTCATACTTTGACATCATATCACTATTTTTTTTCTCTGATTACCACCAGAAGTGCTTCCCTTGACACACCTGAAATAATTAACTAAGCTTTTGATTTCAATTCTTTCACACTGCTTTTTCTTCTCTTACAGAAGCAACAAATGACCTGAGCTTCTCTTTGCTTTTCCAGCGTTTCCCAGCCCCTCTGCCCTGTATCTCCCAAAGGATCAGGTGTGGTTTCTGTGCAACTGTGCAGTTAAAGAAATACAACTCCCAGTGAGATTCTGCAGGTCCCTTTGGACATGACCACATCCATCTGCACACAAATCCATGTGGAAATCTGCCAGTCACCCCTCAGGCACCATCCTGTCCCTGTGCAGGGTGTCACAAACCATCACCTCGTCCTGCCCCACGCACAGAACATGTTTCAGTCTCAGGGAAATATTGGCAGCTGCAGTTTTATTGTAATTTTACTGTAACATGGCAAACTTCTGCAGTGAATTTTATGGTACTCTACAGGCACAAGTCAAATTCTTCAGTAAAATGAGTGTTTGGCCAGGTAAGAACTGCATTACACAGTGAAAATTCCACCCTGGTGATGGCCAGCACATGAAGAAAGGCCAGTGTAAAAACAGAAATAAAATATATTTGTTAAATTAGGTGTGAAACTCAAAAAGTCTAATCTTCTTTCCTTCAATTTTTATGAAGTATTCTTATACTATTCATGGAATAGTTGTATCAGGTAGATGGGACCTGAAGAGATCACCTGGTCACCCAATTCCCGGTAAAATGAGCTACTCATGACATTAATGAATAAATCTATTCTGTGCTGCCACATCTCCAGTGATGGAGCTCCTTAAACTGGCCAGGCACCTGCACCACACTCACCTTTCACCACCCTCATCAGTAGAGACTCAAAGGAACAGACTGAAAAATGCCATTTAACACTAATTTTTTAGCTTCTGCATATTGGTATATTAATCTTGACTTTATTTTTTGTAACATCCCTTGTACAGGAGAATTGATGCTCCTTGTACAGGAGAATTTTCCTTTGGGTAGATGAGTTGTTTCTGGGCATAACTAAACCACCAAAACCTCCTGAAAAGGCCATTTAGCCAGTCAGCAATACTTATTGTGGTTCCAGGAGAAGGAAAGATGGCAGAGAATACCTTTAAAAATGGTAAATTAAAACACTGGAACTTCAGCAGATCTGTCATTCCAGCATATAAGTAAATTTGACTTTAATGCTACTGAATTGCTCAGAGCAGAGAGAGAGAAGGGCTGTTAATTGTTTAAAGCAAACCGACAATAATGGTCATTATTGTCACGGGGGCTGGGGATCTGCCAGAGCACAAGGAACCAGGAAGAGGAGGTTTGCTGGGGATGGGATCAACCCTCCTAGCAGAGCTCATCCTCGAGGCAGGAAAGGGATCCTTGGAGGGATTCTGAGCCTCTGAACACGGCAGATCTTCAGAGCAGGTTTCAGTGAACTCCAGTGCTCAGACCCAGCTCAGGGAACTCTCACTGAGCAAAGATCCCCAGTCAGTGGTGCACTCACAGGCTGCAGCAGCTCCAGACTGGAATTCCAGGAATGCACAGGCAATGTCTTGGAGGAATGACTCACTGTAATTAATGAAGCAAATGCAGTTGCATCCACCTTCCAAGGAGGCACATTTCCAGGAAGCTGGAGCCTCTCTAATGAGTGGAGCTGAGCCAAGTTCCACACAGGGAGTGCTGGAGCCCAGACCTGCCAACACCTCCCGGTGTCCTGTGCAGCCCCTCAGAGCCAGGGCAGCAGCACAGTGGGACACCTATTGCCAAGGACCAGGCTCTGCTTTTATCCCTTATCCACACACTTTCCACTGCTCAAGTTTTTTCAGAACAAAAAAAAAAAAAAAAAACACAAACCCAGAAAAACTTCCAACTTTTTGCTTTATGTGACATGAAACTAATGATGAGCTGCATTCACTGCCTGAGGGGACTGGGCAAACACACAGGGTGGGTTTCTGAGAACAAATCACTGTACAAACATTTATCATAGAAATTCTGTATTTATATAGATATATTTTTATATTAATTACATATTTATATAGAGAGTGTCCTCTGGCAGTGAAATAATTAAAAATCATCTGCATTAACACAGATTCTAAGTCAAGGTTCTATTTAAACTTCAAACCTACTCTTCAAATTCATTTCCAAGATGTAAGTCATTTTTCTCTCCCTTTTCTACTCTCACCTGGTGGCAAACAGTCTGCTCTGGGTTCCAAAAATGTCACCTCCTCATGGGTCATTCAGCACACACTGACCTACCCCAAGACACGTCCCACACACAGCTCTGGGACAGGGGCCAATTAGATCTACTTGATTTCTTTTCCTTCATCTCTTTTCCTCATGTAACATGAAACACGAGGTTCTGGGCAGGGGCTGAAATTTCACCTTCTAGTGCCAGAACTTCTGACACAGCTCAGAGACTCCACAGCTTTACTTATTTCCAGACACACTCATTGTACTTCCATCTCCAGAGTCTGAGGCAAAAAGACAAAAGTACTTTTTCTTTAATAAATTGAAGACAACATAGGCCTCTCCTTCTTCCCATGACAAATTAAAGAATATCTCATTTCAAGTTTTCCAGTATTTATTGTCTATAAATGACCCCCAACAATTCATGATTATTTTGTTGTACCCTGTTCAGTCACTGTACATTCAAATATCCCAAGGGCTTCACTGTCACCATAATCATTCCATGACAGTTATACCCTGGGAACTTTTATGCAATTTTCCCTTCTGAATTAAGCCCTGAATTCCCATTTCACTTGGTGTCAGACCCTTGAGGTGATGAACTGATCAGATTAAAGCAATGGGCAGTTTGCCCCTTGTTTCAACAAATTCTTTAACTCAGGCACAGAAATCCTCCAAATGTATGTTTTGTTATTACAGAATCCTTGAACAGCCCAGGTTGGAAGGAACCTTGAGATTATCAGGTTCAAGCCTTTGTGGGAAAGAGAGCCTAGAAAAGATGCATTGTTAAAGTACCAGGATGGCTGGGAGAGTTCTGAGGGCACTACAAGTCTGTCTCCAGAGGTTGGGAAGATCCTCAGCATTTACAGCACGAGGAATTTGACTTCTACTGCCAAAGAGTAAATTCACTTCATGTTTACTGACAACTTACACAACCTTGGGCTTCAAAACTGTTTTACTTTCACTTTTGCCTGTATTTCTAATCCTCAGGTACTTCTGAAGAGTTGTGTCCAATAAAACTCTAAAGTTTCAACTCAGTGCACTCAGGTTTCACCACTGCACTGTAATTATTAATGAAGACACTTAATAACAGGAAGCCAAGGTCTTTCCTTTCATTTTCCTGTAACAGACTTCTTGCTTTAGAGCCCTGCAACCACTTGCTAATCTTTATTCATTATTTCACACGAGTTTCAAAACCTTAGTGCTTTATTAAACCCATATATTACATTTTCCCTTTGATCCTTGGAGTTTGCAGTGTAATTTTAAAGCACTTCCATGTGCAGAACAAACACTCCCTTCACCCAGATGAATGCTGAGTGATTTTTTCCTCCCTGTGTTTGCACTTCTGTTGAAGTGATGACATCAGTGCTGGGAACCACATCCTTCCCTAACTCTGCAAATCAGTATCAGAGCTGGGGTTTTTTTTTGAGTCTCCTCCTCTTGTAGCCACAATCCAAGTTGTTCCCTGAGTTCCCTGGTGCACAGGACAGGATTTACTTGCCTGCTGGATGCTGTCCCCATTGACCATGTGAGGTAGAAGTGGCACTTCATTCAGCAGAGGTGTGGCTTCCAAGGGGGGCGGCTGGTCGGCCATCATTTCTTGGGACCATTCATGGACACATCCACCACCTGCTCCAACAAAAACACGGGGACAACGTTACAGCCAGACCCCCTCCCCCAGATAATTCTCTCTTTCACCTGACAGATTTGGTACCAGACTCAACAGCAAAGGATCATTAGACATCAACTCTCCACAACTCTCCCCTGAAGGTTTTCACGTAAACTGATTTTAATTGGACACAAAATTCACTATAAAACATCCACTTTGGCTTCAATGCACATTTAAAACTTGGGCAAACTGACAGGCTTAAAGGAAGGAGGGGATGACATGTCATAGATCCAAGTTCTTCCTTGTGGGTGGGTCCCTTCCAACTCAGAATATTCTGAGTGCATCCAAGTAGTCCAGTATTATCCTACTTTTCATTTTTAACTACTTCATTTAAGCAATATGGATCCTTCTCCCAAAATTATCCTCTTTAATTATCATGAATATTCAACTTGCCACACAAGTGCTGAAACTGGTACCTCAGTGCAGCAATTACACACTGGGGGAATTTGCATTTATGCAGCACTTTATTCCTAAATTTGCATTTACAATTCTTCTACTCCAGACCCCAAGCGCCAGGCTCAATAATGCACATGCCACATATACATTTCAGTCCCTGTGATGATCAGAAAAGCCCCAAACTGTGTGATTTCTCCAGTGTTGCAAGGTGTCCTCAATGCAGAGTCCGACACAGTGAAAACAAGGCTTAAGACAACCCCAAAAAAGCATTTTGCAACCAAGTCTTTAACAGAGCCCCATGGAGAAATGCAAAGGAAAAGTGCTGCATAGCTGTGGATTTCCAGGGAATAATCTGTAATTACAGTCAGTCAAAACACAGTCCACATGGTAGGGAATTTTCGGTGTATAGTCAATCCAGCATCCATAAAAAGCACAAGATAACAGGATACAGGAAATGCTGACACTTCCTTCTCCCTTCCCATTACCTCCCATAAACCAGAAGGCAAAGTGTGGGTAGGACAGTTTATTCCTTAAAAATAAAAATCAAAACCAGACTAAAAACATCATCCCCAAATCTGTGCATGAACCAAGTCAGGCTGAGCCAAGTCCTTGTTCAGTTCTCCACAACCTGCATGGAAAGGGAGTGTCTGGGGAAGGAAAAAGAGGAAAACAAACCCCCGATGAACTCTGTACCCATGGGACTGAATTTCCAGATTTGCAACAGTGAGAGAAATATCACAGCCTGACTTAGCATTTCTGCTAGTTTTAATTCATTTTGTTCAGCAAAGGTCTGCAATAAAGCTGAGACTACAGGATTTCTCCTCTATTACCACCACAAGGTAAAGGAGCTGGTGGAATCCACTGATAAAACCCACATTCCTCCTTGTTTGCAAAAGCATCTCAAAATAAGAGATACCATCACACAGTCACAAAATGCAGCACAACAAACTCCTCAAGGCTTCCCAAGAACCCAGATCACTTCACAAACAACTTGTTTTCCAGGTCTGCTCCAGTCACAATTTTCAGAGGCCAAATACGAAGGTGCAAGGGCTGGACACGACCTCAGAGATTGAATTTCTATCAGGTTATACTTACTATATATATTTAATACACTTAACTGCCCTAGCATGTTATTTATTTCCTGAATAAAATAATCTCCTATTTGTCAGGCTTGGAATTGCCTCTGCCAAGGACACAAACACAGCTGATGGTATTTAACTATTCCATTTAAAAATTCCTGCATGGTAAAATTGAGGCAGCTTTTCCTCCTCTACACCTCTCCCATTTTTAGATGGTTAGTGGTTGGATTTAAGCTTAAAGAGCCACAACAGGAATATGCTCTACACAGGCAAAATGAAAATCCTTTATTTTCTACATGCAACAGTCCCAATTTCTTTCATCTCTGAACCTCAAAGACGACAGAAATCAGTACTTAAAATAAAGGGGAAACCCCTTTACCAAAAAGCAACTCCAGCTGCATTCAAATGTTCAAGCACCCAAAATGAGCAGCTGCAGAAAAAAAGTGTTCTGAAACAGGTCCCAAAGCCACCTGCAATTCTAAATGAACGTTCTGAGTTTCTATTCTGAGCTTTATTAATTAATTTTCTGAGGCTTTGTCTTTAGGACAAATTGTAGAGCAGAGCCCCAACATCCATGTGGGGTTTAGAACCCTCAATCTCCTGCCTGATGGCTCAGGTAGTGTTTAATTCCCATTGACACCTCCACACACATTCTGCTTAGTGCTGTAATTTCATTTTTCAGAGGAGGAACTTAATACTTGGAGTATCAGGAAATAACTGTTTTTATACAGTTAATGACAAACACCAAAAATAGCGAATTTCGTGTCTTGGCAGGAATCTCCACGTGGGCACAGAAAATAGAAGTACTGACACAAATGAAACCATTTTCAGAACTTCTGGGCAGTTCCACCTGGCTCAGAATGTTGATATTTCCCTGTGCAGCTGGGCTGGGGTGGCTGCAAGCGGCAGAACACTGAGGACAAAAGAGGAATGCCCTGACAGATTGGAAAAAAACAAGTTATTTTGGTTTTACAGCACTGCTTCATTCCTCCAACATCCTGATAAGAGCAGCAAAGACACTGCTGCCCTCAGAGGGAGCCCAGGGAAGGAGGGGGGGACTCAACCCCTCCCCACTTCAACAGGTAACACTTTTCCAGGGAAATAGAACGTGATCCAAACAGATTTACCTCCCCAAAGGCTCCATTTCACTGGAGGAAGTAGGTGGTATTGGGGTAAATAGAAAGAGAATTCCTGAAAAGTTATTACATAGTCAGCACAATTTCCTGCAAAACATAACAAAGACAGGGCTCTATCTTGAAAAGCCATTTCCCAACACCCTCCCACAGCTTGGAGCAGGGAATCCAGCCCTGCCCCAC